AGGCTTGGGTGAATGCATGTCGTTAGGCTGTCAGAGAATTTTCAGGCATTCGAGTATGAAAAAAATAGAAACCGTGAGCTTGGCAAGTTTGAAGGGGAATTGCTGCGGCACAAAGGTTCAACTTCTATTTGGTCCCAGATGAGTTTTATTAAACATCCACCTCCGTCAGGGGCTTCAGTAGGACCGTGGCCTGATCGCAATGTGGTCATAAGCTTGACGGCTAACGACGTTAGTGAAGTGAAATGATTACAACGCGGACTTATACTCTGGTCAGGTCTCGCGCGTACCAGTGTGCCCGTGCTAAGGAACGACATTCCCATAAGTGCGAAACTGTTTTATTTTTACTTCGTGCCGAGCACTTGAGGGTTTTGACGTTGTGGGTCGCAATCAGCTAAAGCTGTTCATCTCGAGGACCGAATTGTGTTCGGTTCTGGTGAACAAGGTATCGGTATTAACAGTAGTAAAACTTTCATCAACTGATGCAGCATTTATGTATGTTTATCCACATCTCTATTTCCCCCCCCTCTCTCTCTCAAAAATGCAGAACAACATCACACCCCTGCATGTGGCTGCCAAGTGGGGTAAAGCCGATATGGTGAAATTACTGATCGACAGGGGCGCTAATGTCAACGCCCGAACACGTGATGACCTCACCCCGATGCACTGTGCTTCGCGGTCCGGCAGCATAGATATTGTGCAGATCCTGTTGTCAGCTGGAGCCGACCACACCCTAAAGACACGCGTGAGTGTTATTTGACTATGTACCATCTATAACAATTTCCTTCTGCTGCATTATTAGTCCTATTTCGCTGGTAACCTATATAGTTTGGTCTCTTGCACTCTCTAGGAATACCTAAATAAAGTATACGCCGAATTCTTGCCCAGCATACATACATGACTAGATCTACCCTGGCATGGACTAATTGATTGGCAGGGCTTGATGAGACGTCAGTTTTACAGAGCTGCTGGCTCAGCTGGTAGACGTCACCGGCAAAATATGGGCATCTCTGACTACGAAACAGCCGGTGTCTCGGCCTCCACTTGCATTTTTAGCATCTTCCTTCTGTGAGCTCATAACTGATTCCATATTTGCGATCTTTATTGCCAGAGGACGCGGAACTAGTCTGTTCTCAGATCATAACCAGCTCGGAATACACCTATATACATTCCATCTACAGCTGTGGACTAATAAAGACGGGAGGTACCGAGACAACAACTGTCGTTAATTCCAGCTTTTAAACCTCCACAGAACTTAGTGCATTACCTTGAAGTAAATCCTTCGGGACAGACATGTCAAAATTTGATCCGAAAATTGATATGCATCATCCAACCGAGACCGTTGACTAACGTCGCATCATAGCAACTATTTCCAACAGAGTACAGTCACTCTCTAGGTCAGTATTCTTGTTGAGCGATAAACGTTTGTTGGATATGCTTGGTAAGCCACGGGCCTAGGACCTCTCCCCTGTAATACAAGTGACCTTACCGTAAATTCCAGGGAGATAAAGGTTATGTTTATGTTTGGATTAGGTTTAAAACACAAAAAGAGCTACCTCTTCTGGAATTAAGCCGAATGCCACTTGTATTACCGAGTGTTCCAGTTTGCGTGTCATAACATATTCACCTAATAAACATTTCTCTTTCCCAAAGGACTTTATCGCTCATTAAATATATCGCTTGGGATGCCAATATTTCAATAACATATTTGTATATTTGCAGAAAAGAGACTGAACGGAGGTAGACTACAACAGTTTACTTTTTTCACATACTGTGTGAATCCGTAGCCAGTATCCGTTATGTGGTGGTCGGAGTATCATTAGTTGATGACGGCAAATACGCAATAGATAACTATTCCTATCAGTGATAATTATTGAGATATGTATAGCCTAGCCTAGAGAAAGCGCTCTAAGTCTTGACGAGGGCGCAAGAACTGAACCCTCGATGATTAGAATTTTGTATTTTTTTCTTTCTATTCCGCCACAGAACGGTCTTTCGCCCATTCACATGGCGGCTCAGGGCGACTACGCGAACATTGTAAAACTGCTGCTACGGTGTGGATCTTCGCCGGATGAAGCCACACTGGTTAGTATTTCCATTTTTATAGATATATTGAATGCACCTTTTACGGACTTGAGACCTTAAAATTGGAAAGTGCAGATGTTCCCAGTACTTGTAATCGAAAATACGTATTAATTCAACTTTTATTTTTTAGGAATAAAATAAATTAGTATGCACCGAAAGGCATAAAATATGAACTGAAGTCCTCGAATGTGCTTTAAAACCGAAAAGGCTGAGTAAGCAAGCTTATCATGCTAAGAAGTAGGCAATAGTTTTCAATCAATTTATACACTGTAGCAGATTAAGCGAGCAACCTAATCGTTATCGGCAAACGTTCATTTCTTATAGTTACCTTTCTTCCACATTTATGTATAAAAGTATGTCTTCCTATAACTCCGTGTTTGGAAGCGGGATAACGTTTGTTTCAGAAAGTACATTAGCTTAGAGGCTCTTCTGACGTGTAAGTCACTATTCACGAGTGTTAGGCCTGTGTACGAAGCCGGAAATTTTCTCCCGGTCTGGTCCAATAATTTGTGCACGTCAGAACGTCTCCTGACGATAACATAGGGGCAATTACTAAACAGCTTCTAAGGAACAAACAGTTCACAAGTCCTGGACATATGTGGCCTCCCAGCATAGGCATCTCTGACGACTTTTGAAATTGACAGCGACTCGCACTTCTAAATAGTTAGTTTCCAGAAGAAAGAACAGCATTCGCCGGGAGAGGTTCATTGAAAGACTGACGTTTCGGGTAGTTGTCTCGTCTACCCACCTTCAGAGAATGAACACTCTGTCTCATGGTTCTCGTCTTTATGCCGCTCCTTCTTCTGTTTGCGTGTTCTGTCAATCGCTGCTGAGGCGCTGTTTGTGCCTGGTGTCTCGCCTTCGGCCTTCTCGTTTACCCTGTCTGTCACCATGCCGTGTGTGTTGGTTTCGCTCTCATGTGTGTTCATCCCGTCGGCCCCCGTCGCGCCTCGGCTTGTTTCGGTGGCGCTAGTTGATGGCCCGATTGTTCCATGCTGTGACTGCCGCCTGATAAGAAGGTGCTTAAAACAACATAGGGGACAGGTGGCGATTTACTGAACAGTCGGTCGACATTCAGACTTCTTTAATCTGCCTTGATGCGTGATCATCACTTCGGTCC